GTTTAAATTGACAAAATTAAAAACTCAATATTTATTTTATTACAAGGGTCAAACATTAAGGGTTTTTTTTTTTTTTTTTGGTGTAATTTCTCCACAAAAAGGGGTAAATTATAAATACACCCTTTGAGGCTTGCTTCAAATACAGATTGCCCCATATAGTTATAAAAAATTACAAATACTTGTCAAAAAAAAATTATTTATTAGAATAAACAGAAAAAATAAATTTTCTAACTACTCTTCTATGCAACAATAAACTTATAGAATTGATAATTGAAATATATTTCTGAGGTGGTATATTTTTAATTTATCTATTTTTTAATGGTAAATTACACTGACCTCCCCTGAAGTTTGGAGAACATACAATAAGCCTCATAAGTTTTGCATAATTACATTAGGTTTCCTTAAGGTTTTAATTCATATAACACTTGATTATATTTTCATCGAAAGTTCATTAGTCATATGAATGGAAAAATAATCTCTTTAACCTTATTAAAGAGAGGTCACTGTAATTATATCAAAATTGCAGTGCTTATTATATTATTTTTTTTTCAAATTTCAAGAGATGTCAATGTAATTTATTCATTTTTTATAGTTAAAAAAAAATTGTATAGCATATCCAAATAATCATTCAGATTTGAATAGTGTAAAAGCCTAGGTGTTTTGAGAAGTGCTTTTTTTTAACTCTCGGTTTATTTTTGTTTTTGGTGAACTTTTTTTTAAATTTTTGAAAGTGCTTTAGATTTCTAAACTCAGCTCGATAAGACGTACCAGAAAATTATAATTTTTAAAAAAACATCCAAAAAAATCCAGAAAAGATAAAAATAAGCCAAAATAAGCAATCTTTTTTTTGTTTATTGTAGTCTTTAGTGATTTTTTTTTTCTCAGAGTTTTCAAAAAAATATATACGTTTTAGATTCGTCTCAATAAGACGGACCGGAAAAAAAAAATTTGACATAATTTTCAAAAAAAATCAGTAAAGACCAAAAAAATCAGAAAAAGATGTGACTTTTTTGTTGTGGGGGGAATGGCTCAAACTGTGCATAAAGATGGGGGAATTACAATTTAATGTTGCCCCTCCATCCCTTAATTACTTTTGGTCTATTAATTCCCCTTTAAATTAAGTTGTTGGGTGGTCTAACTTACTACTAAAACTTTAACTTTTTACACAATATAACCCTACTTATCTCTCATCACACAAAAATGAAAATTATGACTCCACTTATCATTAGATTTGGCTTATTTACAAATTACCATATTGTAGCGATCTTGGTTTCAACCATTCTTTCATGTTTTGCCACTTCGAGTGGGTAGGTTGGGGATCGAGCTGTCCGGTCAGCTCGCAGGAGTCTAGGGGGACAACCAAGTTACTTGTCCACTCGAGCGGCCGTTTATGCACTCAAGCGGAGAATGTTTGGTTTTAGAAGTTTGACCTGTCTGCAAAAGTATTGGAAAGGTGTATTCGACCCTCGAGTGAGGCTTTCCACGCTCGAGCGGACCATGTTATATCAATTCATAAATCTGATATTTCAGATCACTTTTGTATATCTCTCTCTCTCTAAAAACATTTCCTCTCCCTTCTCTCTACATTTCCCTATGCCAAATTGGATCAAAACCTTGATTTCTCAAGATCCATTAGAGTTCTGTCATAGGTTCTTCATCAAAGTTGGTTAACTTCTCGAGGGTTTTGTTGTTTGCGGTGAAGATCGAGTTTCGACACCGTTGATTTTGAGGGTTTCATCTCATTTCTTCTTCAAAACTTGAGGTAGGGATTTTCTTAGAGTTATATATATATATTTTTGCAAGATCTAGATGATTTTCGAAATCATCATTCGATAGCTTTGAAAAATGATTGTTAATTCAAGAAATTGAGCGATTTTGAAAATGAGTTTGTCTCTTGTTCTTTTAAAACGATCTTATGGGTTTTGATCTTCGTTGATTGAAGAAAAAATGATTTTGAAAAGTTTTCTTTCAAAAGATTTGAGTTGTATTGTTTTGGTGAGAAAACCTAGAATTTGGGAATTTTTTTTAAAAAGACTGAAAATCCATGAATGATATTGTTATATTTATTTTGTGTGTCAAAAAAAATGGATGTTTGAAAATTTTCTTATTTCTATTTATATAAATGATGAATTTCAGGGAATATGAGAATTGTTGTTCATTTTGGAAATTATTGTTCAAAACGTTAAAATAGTCTTGAAATGACTAATTGTTGAGGATACTTGAGAAGAGGGAATTGTGTTATTCTTTGGATGATGAATTGGAATAAAAATATTTATATTCATCTTGTGTTATTGGCATATCAATTCATTTGATTACATTAAATTTTGAAAGTTGATTTGAAAACTTGTATTGAGAAAAGAATGTTGAGAAACAAGTTTCCATGAATTGGTTTTGGAGTAAATACAGTGGTAAGTCTTGACAGGTAGTGTAAATGAAATTGAATAGGTGTCGAGCCTTCCAGTTAATACTAGTAAAAATGACAGATTATAGGTGTCGAGCCTTCCAATCAATGCTGGTAAAAATGACAAATTGATTGTACTTGTATAGTCTACTTGCAGACACCAACCTAGGGATTACCAGAATCGTATTTACCTCTCTTGAAATGAATTGTTAAGTTTTGAAGAATTGAAATTGCATAACATCATTGAGCATGATGGTTTTCAAAGATGAAGATGTGATTTTCTTTCAAAAGGGCATAGCATGTCATGTGCATTCCATCTCTTAAGACTTGTATAAAATGTATATACTTTGTTAAGGATTTCCTACTGGGCTTTATGCTCACCCTACGAAATTTTTGTACAGAAAAAGATGTGATGATGCCGCCTAACTAGAGGCAAGAGAATGTGTGTTGAGAGTACGAGACTCTCATTTTGCTGTGACTCTGTGCGTAAGCCAAGGGCTATATGTGTGTGGATTTGAATAACCGTTTTGTGTAACTAGGCTCAAGCCTTGAAAATTTGTAAACCCCTTGGGGATATTTATTTGTTTATTTACTTGTTGTTAGATTAATGTATTGTTGCATGAAGAACTATTGTATAATGTAATGTAAGTTTGAAAATTTATATTCGGTTTTCTTTAAAAGAGCCATAATTGTTGTATTATCATTTGGGTTAGAAATTTGGGGTGTTACACATATAATGATTACCATTCAAATTAACCATACTACTAAACTTAACTCTAGTACTAGCTAATGTATACTTGCCAATTCTTTTAAATATGGTGACTAATTACATGTTGTACTTGGACTCCTAAAATATAGATTCTAGGTTTGTTTATTTATAATTGTTAATCTTAATATGAGGTTATGTTTGGATGACAAGAATTTTGAAAACGAATAAGAATCTCATTATTAGTAATAAAGTATGTATCAATATTATCCATGCATTTGGTTGTGCTAGGAATCTTCTACGAGAAAAAGATGAAGTTTTAAATATTATGAGTTTCATTATCATTTTTTATTTCTTAAATGGTTAACATTCTCCCAAATATGAGATTCCCATTTGAAAGTGGGGAATCAAATTCTTACTTAATTTGTAAATATGATTCCTATTGAAATAATAATCAAGAGTCACTTTCTTATCCTAATTTGTTTTAGATACTAGAATCATGAGAACCAAAAACACCAACTTTGTCTAGGGTTCTATCAGGCTTGCGGCTATTTGAAAGTAATTGAACAAAAACATTTAGGTCTCGTTTAAAAATAAGTTATTTTAGTAATTTTTTGACTTTTTTATGAAAAGATGTGTAGAAAAGTAGAGAGTGGTGTGACAACCCATAGTGACTTTTTGACTAAAGCATATAGTTGCCAGACGAGGTCTTAAGATTGTATTTGGATTTAGAATTCAAGAAGGAATTTGAGAGGAGAAAAGAAAATATGACAAAAATTCAACTTCTATTTTATTTTTTTTCTCCTTCCTAATTCATTCTCTACAAATTCCTTATCAATTTTTTAAACCAAACCCAACCTTCGAACTTTGGCCACTTTATGATAAAATTAAATTAAAGATATTTAACTGCAAACCTGACATTGGTTTATCGATTTGCAATTATGATAGTAAAAGACTTCACTTTTGATTAAAAAGGCCTCTAATGGTTAAAATGAAAGTTGAGAAGTCAAATCATTTTTCAATTTACTATAATATCATTTTGTTAATTTTTGATAATATCGTTCCAATAATGTCAAAGTTGTTTTTAGCCAACTACCATTTTTCTTTTTGACGGCTAATTGTGCCAGTCAAACCTACATTTTAAGTAAAGTTACAATGCCACTTTTTCGCTCATCTACGGTTAATAACGATAACAAAACTTGACAATGTACTAAACATGACAATTTTTTTTCTCACTGGCACTACTACGCTTTTAATCAAAATCTCACATTGATCCTTACACTTTTACTAAAATTTCACTTTAGTCCCTTCACTTTTAATTTTTGTCAACCTCACTAACGACAGATGAACAAAATAGTGACATTATAACTTCATCAGAGGCTGGAGCTTGCTGGAGGGTAACTAGCAGTAGACAGTGACCGGAGGTGGTGGAAGAGGGAGAAGAGAAAGAAAGTGAGAATATCTTCTCCTCCTTTAACATTTCCAAAAATTTTAAAATTTGAAATCAATTTCACTTTTTTTAAAACAAAAACAATATATCAAATAAGTTTTCATTTTCCGTTTCCAGAAAAATGAAAACGAAAAACGGTTTGAAATCGAAAGTTCTAATGCATAAAAATGATCAACAGGTTACAGGTCCTTCCGAACCCTCTTGAATCTTTATTCTACCCTCTAGATGTCCAAACAGATTCCACCAATTTGGAGAAGCATAAATATGTCATCAAGGTCTCCAGCTATTCTGATCCAATAATAAATACAACAAAAACAAAATACAATGGAACCAACCATGTCAGTGATACAAGAATTCGCGACTTCGCCTAGTTCAACAGCCAAGTTCGTATAACTAGGCCACTGCTATTTCTAAAATCTTAAAACATCTGCAAGCATTCCAGCAATACAATATCATTTTTTTAAATGCAAATGTTAAAACTTAATTTTTGAAGAAATCTGTATAAATATATATACACAGATGCATTTGATGTGCACAAATTGCAATTAGAGGGTTGTCCTAAGCTTCAAATGGGTAAAAATTTAACAACATTTTCTCTCCCGCAAAAAACAAAAAGCCCCGGTGTGAAAGCAAAACAGTCAACCAACCTATAAGAATATCAAAAAAGAGAGCAATAGAAAGGGAGTAAGTATCAACGTAATCTCAACCTTTGATGTATAGAATAACTGGCTATGTTTCAAATCATGCTTTACCTACCAAAAGACTACACAATGTCCGATCTAATTTTACCAGTCTGGAATTATAAATCACCAGAGGATATATTCTTTGGCCTTATCAAGAACACTTCCAACCAAATGAGGGTTGGAATGAGAGCCCGGGAGTATCAAAACATGTCAATTTTGTTGATCTCTTATAATAAAGAATTTAATTCCGAATCAAAATCAACATTCTTCTATTGGTATGGTGAATTTTTCACTTTTAAAAGCAAGAAAAAAACTGTACATTAAAAAATTAAAAACACCTTTTTCAATTGAAATTTCATGAAGAGTAGATGGAATTCATGTACTACAGAATCAGCATTTTACAAGAGAGGGAAACAAAATCCAAAATAGAACAAATGCCTTGACTAGGGAAGAACATGTGAACGAAATATAAGTGGATAGGTGCAGCAAAATCCACTGCTCCAACACTGCACAATAGATGACATGAGGTTAAAATGTATCACTAATGCTGCATAATTAATCCAGTGACAAGACGACTTCTGCTGTGGCACATGTAAACAGAAAACAAAAATTTTGATTCTGTGGACCATTCATAAAAACTTCTACAATGTATGCACAACGAACACCTAAACTATCATGGGGTGTACTAAAAAAGTGTATGAATTTATTAAATTTAACTAAGCATATAACCGTTGCTCTATGTTACCTAGAATGTGGATCATTCCGGTATGTGGAACGGGATCAGGAATGTGGTAAACAACTTGCTTTAAAATGTGAAACAATTAAAATGTGAAACAATAAGGTAGATTTGTATAGTTTACACTACAAGAAAATTTAAGAAATTTTAGAGTAATTTTCATTTAACTATTAGGCATCCAATAAAATGTAATTTTTTTTTCCTCCCAAATTAACCATGTAGCAAAACATTTCTATGAACATTATGACCTAAGAAGTACGGACACTTCTACGAAGGAAATGTGTCATGTCACACCTGTGTCCGACATGGCACTCTTTGGACACTCACTCCTAAAAGCATGCCCAATACTTCTTCAACGTGTCTGGATTAAAATCAAATTCATAACATCAGACACATTAGCAACACTTTGGTGACACTTCTTGAATCCTCCAAATATATCCTATATGATGAATCCCTCCATTATAACAATGTTCTCCATTCTTTATAACACAACTTATGTATCCTAAATATATTAAAAGAACATCATGTGCAATACAATTTTATATTATTGTTTTTGTTTAGAATGTAATTGCTATGTAAAAAACACCTTGATGTTTAATTTATGAAATATATAGCTTTTTAATATAAAAAGGTATATTACATTTTTTTATTATCTTTGAATAAATTATTTATATATATGACATAATATATTTCTAAAATTACAAAAATTAAACATGTCCCAAGCGTGTTGTGTCGTGCCCTGCATTTTTTTAAAAAACGTGTCGGCATGTCTCATGCAGGAAGCATATTGAAAAGACGAGCAAACAACAAGATCAAACTAGAGATACTCTCTCTAAGAACGAACAATATTGAGCAAATTCTCAATTTTTATTAATCAAATATCAACTTCAAGTCCATAGCCGTAAGATTTAAAACCTTATTTATAATAAGCCTACTTCTTGGAGAACAAGAAACTAATAAAACAGGAAATAAAAATCAACGCTAATAGACGAGTCAAATTGTATCAAATCAAATTAAGAAAAGAAACTAAATAAATCTATACTATTCTATACTAAATTAAATATTCCCAACTAAATATTAATTCTAAAACATAAAATAAAAATACATAATATTTTTAAATCTGATATTAGTGTCGGTGTCGTGTCCGTGTTTGTGCCACTACGATTATTTGCCATTTTTTTTATGTTTTGTCATGGCAAAACTTCACTCCTCCTAAATTTTAGTTCATTATATTTTATTGTTTCCTCCTAAGGAAACATTAAAGGAAATAAAATAGAAAAAACGTTTGGGATTCCTTCAAATCACTAAATTTATCGTTTTAAAATAAAAAGTGTACCATATACCAGAACGTACATTCCAAAATGTAATTTGCTAGGATATTAGTGTATTTTGCACTGCTCTCACTAGAATACAATGGCAGAAAAAGATTCATGCAGCTGACCCCTGTTAATTCGGACACAAGGCTTGGTTTGGTTTGGTTATAATCTATACACATGACCTTCTCCACATCTATGTCATACACGTTGATCAAAATCATTTGCTGAAAATGTGCATGTTTGTCTCACTGAGAATATAGTTTGAAGTGGAACCATAAATTACCACAATGATCTTACCAAGAACATGAGAAGAGTATGAGCACAAAAGAATAGTGTAATGGACTTACCACAGTAAGCAACGGTCCCTGTTTGAACTTGTCATGAAATGAAAAAGCAAGTGGCCTCGGATTGTCTCCAGGCCCTCTAATGAACCCACTGGATTAATACGACCGGAAAAAAAAAAGAAAAAAGATTAGAAACATGCTAAAGGTACCATTCAAGTACAATCAACAGATTTAGAAACATTCACACACAAATTGTTAACAGTCACTATTTATAATAACAATAAGGGTAAAATACACAGACCACCCTGAGGTTTAGAAAAAATACAATAAACCCCACAAGTTTGCCATAATTACACCAATCTCCCTTTAGTAAGGCTAAAGTGAGCGGAATTAATGTCAATGGTCTGTAGACACAAGGAAAAACAAATTAAAATATATATTTCAATGTAAAATAAATGGCAACATTTTTCCATCTATACGAATAACGAACAACTGGTGAAAAGAGAGTCAAGTGTTATGTGAATCAAAAGTAAGTCCAAAACACTTTCTATACACTTCTTACACATATATTGAGACTAATGACCACCCATTTGAAGGTCATTAGCACTACCCATAATAATGATAACAGACACGGCGGGGACTATTGCCAAATTTATGGATGATGCCAGGACAATGAACAACCTTTTAATGCTACTAAAAGTTGTATATTACCCTGCCAATATATCAGCCTAATAGAAACAATAAGAAATAAAAAGATACTGCGGCTGGTTAAAACACCAAATGATAATTGATAAACATGTAACAAGACAATAACTCACATTAATGATGCAGAAATCAGTGGAGTCCTTTTGACATCACAAATGGCAATGAGACCCCTGTACAGCTCATCCCCATCTTTATATGATAAAGCCAATCTGTCACCCGAAGCATCCCAAGCTATCTTCTCAATGCCTCGACTGCATAAATAACAAGAAAATGTAATGAGAAAAAACCTCTTATCTTTTTCTTTTTCAAACTCTTCTTTTAACATGTGCGTTTCTAAGTTACATCGACTCTTCTAAATTTGTTAAGTCCCCGTGTCGGACACTTGACATTTGAATAAGGACATGTGTTCGACATGCTTAGTTGGACTCCGCATCCAATAAGTATGCTTGAGTAGTTGAGTTTACTATATAACCATGTATAGTACTCTGTCTGTTCTATGTTAGTTTGAAAACACCATAAGAACTACTCATTAAACAGGGCTATTTTAAGAGTCAATTCGTAAACCTTAAAACATGGAAAATATTAAGAAGGTATAGGATTTAAACACAAAGTTATTCTACCTGTGAGTCAAGGATTGTATCTCTGACAAATCAACCGGCAAAAGGTGTGCATCTGGCAAAATCATCACATGCAAAGAATTGAATCAATTCTTAAAGCCAAATTCAGTGCCCTAGAATTATGGAAACTTCTATTTCCACACACCACTCTCAGTTCACACCCCATTTTTAATTCAAATATCAACTTCCAAACAAAACTACATGGTTCGGCAATCAACTTCCAAACAAAAATCTGTAGTTCGGATTCGGAAATCAACTTCTAAACCAAAGATATAGCCGAATGATACGTTTTTGTTCGGAAGTTAATTTGTAAACAATGTAGTTTTGTTCGAACATTGGTATCATAACCAAAAAAAATGTGTGAACTGAGAGAAAGTGGTGTTTGGAAAGAAGCTCCCTATAGTTACGAACAATAGAGTACATATACAGTTTTCCTGAACAAAATGAATAGACAATGATACAGAAACAGAGAACCAACTAAAGACTATTTATAACTTCTTTTTTCCCTTTTTTTTTTTCCAAAAGCACCTTTTGTCCTTAAATATGTCATACCAACTAAACTAAGCACAAATACAAATACAGACATGGTACAACATTGATATACAGCATGGTATGGACACACTGACGCAACAATTTAAAAAAACAAGACATGACACAACATGAACATGACAACACATAAATAATATATATTCAAAATAATAATTTCTTCAAATTTTACAGTACAAATAAATTTCCATTTCATTTTTTTTTTTATGAGAAAACACAGTAAGAAATAGTTTTTTTTCACATTCCATATACTGTAATAGTATGAACATGAATAAAAAGTCCCAAAATCTATTAAACATCTACTAACATCATAACATAATTAGTGGCTTTCCAGATCTCTCAACCTTATGGAGAGGGTACTCGTATAACCTATGAGGGATCATCACCATTGTTATTTATTTATTTTTTGTAATATTTTTTAGGGAATTTTCATTAGTTGATTTGATTAAATGATTACACATAATTTTCTAGAATAAGGAATTGATGGTTGACATATGAAACAAAAATCTAACACAAACTAATTTACAGTTACGTATTATTTCTTGGAAGAAAACACTCAAAAAACATAAATCTGTTTTTGTACCACTTTAATTTGGCTCTTTTTCAAGAATTTTCTTCCTTTAAAAAAAAATAAAAAAACACACACACACAAGAATAAGATAAAGATAATAATAATACATATTTTTATTGCATATGAAAGTCTTTCTTTCTTTTTTTATCCTGAATTTTTTATCAACATCCATATTATCCCCTCTCATTTGGTTCTAATATTTTAAGTTCGATTAATTTTGAAGAGTTCAAATTTTATTGGATTTTGATAATTAAGAAAAGAAAAAAAAATGTTATATAACACTATTGTTGGCTATTAATCAATACCACATCAAATACTCAACAGAATATTTATCTATGGAGGATACGCTTCCAATCCAGTTTGACAATATATCTCCTACTTGGACCAAAATCCCATCCAGATGTCCAAACATGACCTAAATGAACTAAAATAATACTTCAAAAAGGCCTTAATATTCTGTTTTACGATACTAATAATAAAATATGAAATATCATAATGATTGACATCTTACTCTAGTTGGAGGCAAAGTGTAACTTACAGTTCATATTTGTAAAACATGATGGCATCTAGTTTTTTCTTCAGAATATCGTAAACAAAATTGAAGATGAGATAACTAAAACTGTCAAGCCTTATATCTTCTCCAACTTTCTTTTCTTTCCCCTTATATCAGCAAACTAAAAATTTCATTAAAGACGTGAAATTAAAGGTACAAGGAAATGAAATGCACTAAGAGAGATTTAGAGAGTGCAAACTCCCCTACTACTGCTGCTCACATCCACACAACCAACCCCTCGGCCTCACGAGTCTTTTTAAGTTTAGAAGAACATAAGCAAAAACAAAAAGGAAAAAAAAAAATAGCTAAGTAGATCTTAACTATACAACAACAAAGTACTTGAATCCCTCAAAACATTCTGTATCCCACCACACCATTACTATCTCCCACACCATATACTAACTCCCAACACCATGATACCCAAAAACACTTACCAATACACTATTCCACAAACCCAGGATTTGTAAAGCCTTTAACCAACCCCACCACAAAGAAAAAACAACAATACACACATGCATAGGGAGAGAGAGAGAGAGAGAGAGAGAGAATCCAAGACCATAGATCTCTCTGTTAAATAAATAAGTTATTCAAGAGAATAGAGATTGTGAGGTAGTCAGACCAGACACATAGAGATGCCAGCAATGCGCACACAAGCCCACACTACAATTTCCTCATACCAACATATCCATTACAACCTCAACTCGGAAAACAAGCATAATGTTGAAAACATTCAATAGGAATAAGAGCTACTAAGGAAAAGAGGGAAGACGCTCACATACCTAGTGACGGAGGCTTTGATGCAAAATGAACAGAACCTAATGTTAAAGATTCAGAGAAAGCAACAAGTATCATTCCTCCATCGGGATCCCATGTCGCTCCCTAATAACAAATGATATTATCAATTAGTCACTAATTAAAACTAAGAAAAGACTCCATCAACAGTATGTATGCAATAACTAGGTTTATCAAATCCAAACAGAGAAAAAGGAAATAAAAGTATTTCAGAAGCATAAAAGCAAAAACAACCATACAAAGGACTTGTGATATTGCTAAAGAAATGTGGATATACAACTAATACAACCAAGATAAATTCTTGGATTGTAAACGTCAAATGTCAGAACATGTGGATTACACACTAAAGTAATCATCTCTTTATCATGAACAGCGAAATGCTATGCAATACCTTAGGTATTACTTTACATGCCACGTGTGCATATTCATCATTTTCCCTATGTGATAATGCCATATACCATACTTGTGTGCTAGGTGACTTAAACATGCTATGTTAGTGTCTTGACTATGCCTATGAATTACTCTCAGAGAGTTGTCTTTGACATGAGAAAGTAGAATTGAAGTAGAATTGTTCACATGCTTCACTGAGACCATGTATGTAATTAAAGTGTGTTTGAATAACTTCATGATCTTGTTTCTTACTTTGCATGCCACAAGTGCATGTTCATCATTTTCCCCATGTGATAATGCCATATGCCATACTCGTGTGCTATGCCAGAGCATATCTAGTGGAATTTGGGCTATTTTTGAGCACAACAAAAGTGCACTTCATAAAAATTTACTATAAGTTGCTCCAGTAGTATGTAGTATTCACTGTGCCCAAATAGTACAGGTGCTCCAACAGTGTAGTATTTCATGTGCTATTTTTTTTAGAGCAATGCTACATACCTCAAATTTGACCTTGGCTCGAATGGCTCGAATTTCTGTTCACTGGTCGTCCGGCGAAAAGGTTGACAGCCGCAGTTGACAAGGTGACAACCACGGTTGTCAGCCTTTTTGCCGGACGACCGATGAACAGAAATTCGAGGCAAGATGGATTCGAGGCACCAAGGATTACACTTTTTTTTATTCATCTACCTATCAACCACCATTTTTTAATAAAGCTTTAATTCATTATACTAAGTCGAAAGTTACAAAATAAATAGATGGCCTTGTATATGGATGTAATTTTTATATTTACATTTAATTTATCTTCTTTTCTTTTTTTTTTTTTTTTGAGAAACAACAAAATTTTATTAAAACGGAAAAGAGAGAGGACAAGAAGTCCTCTTACAAGGAGAGAAAAAAGAAGAAGAAAAAGCAAAACCAATCACAAAACTCCAAACTCTAAGAATGGCAAACAGCAGCCCAATCCCTAGAAATAAAAAACAAAGGGACTCCTTTAAAAGGAGGAGATACAAAAGCCCAAAAAGAAGCCAAATATTCAGCCCTATCCCACAAAGCCTCTACACTTGCTACTTTGTCCTCAAAAATTCGAACATTTCCCTCCAACCATATAACCCAAAAAATAGCAAAAACAATGCCTAATCACATTGATTTGGCTTTCTTAGTACTCCCAAACCCGTCAAACCGAATAAGAAGCATATGCATACACTCCCTTGGAGCAACCCACTGCACATCACATAACCTGAAAAGGCGCTGCCATAATGCTGCAGCCACCGGGCAATGAAGAAAAAGATGATCCGCTACCTCTAGATTACTCTTGCACATCACACACCATTAGGGGCAAAGAGAGTGATTAGGCCTTCTCCTCTGAAGAACATCATTAGTTGTAACGCCCTTTTGAGCCAAAGACCACATGAAAAACTTCACTTTATGAGGGACACTCGCTTTCCAAAGTTTCTTATGAAAAGGGAACAAGGGAACCGAGGGATTATCAATAATCTTATCAAAAAAGGATTTGCATGAAAAGACCCCAGAAGAGACAAGGTTCCACACCCTACTATCGGGAGTCGAAGAAAGAGAAACCCCCTCAAGCACAACCCACAAAGAAGCCAATTCCCCCGCCTCCCTATCATTCAAGTTTCTAATGAGATCAAAATTCCAAGATATGGGTGCCATAGACGAGCAAGCCACCGACGCTATAGACACATTTGGAGAACGAACCAACCTGTAAAGAAGGGGAAAAGATCTAGCAAACGAAGTATCCCCTAACCAAACATTCTCCCCGTTCCCCACTTTGAATGAAAAATAATTAGACACAAGAGGATACAAACGAGAAATGGATTTTCACGGAGAACGACAATTGCCTCTATTAACCACATTAGAATCTCTACCATTAGATTGAATTTCATACTTGCTTTTAATAACTGAACACCATAACGACTCACTTTCAAAAGGAAATCTCCACAACCATTTGCCCAATAAAACAATATTCCTGGCAACAATGTTCCCTATAGCCAAGCCACCTTTTGCCCTAGAAAGAGAAACAGTCTCCCACCTAACCAAATGAACTCCTTTACCCTCCTCACACCCTTCCCAGAAAAAATCCCTCATCAATTTCTCAATTTTTCTTGCAATGCTAACCGGAACTTTGAAAAGGGACAAGAAATAAATAGGAACCGAGCCTAATACGGATTGTACTAACGTATACCTCCCTCCCTTAGACAACAAAGCTCGCTTTCATCCCTCCAATCTTTTCCTAATTTTGACAAGAACAGGTTCCCAAAAAGACACCAATCTAGGATCTCCTCCCAGCGGAAGCCCTAGATATTTGAGGGGGAAGGAATCAATTGAACATCCCAACAGGGCCACCACCCTATGCACCTGACTATCAGCCAAATTAATGCCCACAACACTGCTTTTGCTAAGATTGACCTTGAGGCCAGACATTATCTCAAAAATTCTTAAAATCTTCAGTAGACTCCCCACCTTACTTTCCTCCTCTGATGAGAAGAAAATAGTATCATCCGCAAATTGTGAGTGAGTCACACCTATCCTATCCCTTCCCACCACAAACCCTTCAATGACACCCTTATCCTTAGCTAACTCAATAATCCTACCCAACACATCAACAACTAAAATAAACAAAAATGGTGATAAAGGATCACCCTGTCTTAGGCCCCTAGATGCTTGGAAAAACTCTCCCGCCTTGCCGTTCACAATAATTGCCATACCGCATGACGACAAGCACCCTCAAATCCATTTCCTCCACCTAACACCAAACCGCTTCCTTTCCAAAACAAAATCCACAAAACCCCAATCAACATGGTCATATGCCTTCCCAAAATCTACCTTAAATACAATACCCTTCTTACGTAATCCCCTATACTCCTCCACAACCTCATTGGCCACCTATGAAGCATGGACACTCCAAAATTGATGCCGTAGCAGTGTCCGACACGCGGACACGCCGGGGACACGGGGACACGCCGTGGACACGTACGGGACACGCCAGATGGCGTGTCCCTTTAATTTAATGATTTTTTTGGAAGGGGACACGGCGGGGACACGGCGGGGACACGCGTGTCCATTTCTGGACACGCCATGGGACACGGCGGGGCTCGTTTTTGAATTTTTTATATTTATTTGGGGTCAAAGTATAACAGTCTCCCACCTAACCAAATGAACTCCTTTACCCTCCTCACACCCTTCCCAGAAAAAATCCCTCATCAATTTCTCAATTTTTCTTGCAATGCTAACCGGAACTTTGAAAAGGGACAAGAAATAAATAGGAACCGAGCCTAATACGGATTGTACTAACGTATACCTCCCTCCCTTAGACAACAAAGCTCGCTTTCATCCCTCCAATCTTTTCCTAATTTTGACAAGAACAGGTTCCCAAAAAGACACCAATCTAGGATCTCCTCCAAGCGGAAGCCCTAGATATTTGAGGGGGAAGGAATCAATTGAACATCCCAACAGGGCCGCCACCCTATGCACCTGACTATCAGCCAAATTAATGCCCACAACACTGCTTTTGCTAAGATTGACCTTGAGGCCAGACATTATCTCAAAAATTCTTAAAATCTTCAGTAGACTCCCCACCTTACTTTCCTCCTCTGATGAGAAGAAAATAGTATCATCCGCAAATTGTGAGTGAGTCACACACCTATCCTATCCCTTCCCACCACAAACCCTTCAATGACACCCTTATCCTTAGCTAACTCAATAATCCTACCCAACACATCAGCAACTAAAATAAACAAAAATGGTGATAAAGGATCACCCTGTCTTAGGCCCCTGGATGCTTGGAAAAACTCTCCCGCCTTGCCATTCACAATAATTGCCATACTGCATGACGACAAGCACCCTCAAATCCATTTCCTCCACCTAACACAAAACCCCTTCCTTTCCAAAACAAAATCCACAAAACCCCAATCAACATGGTCATATGCCTTCCCAAAATCTACCTTAAATACAATACCCTTCTTACGTAATCCCCTATACTCCTCCACAACCTCATTGGCCACTAAAATTACATCCAAAATCTGCCGACCCTGCACGAATGCACCTTGTGCCGAAGAAATAGTGCCCCCCAGGACAGCTCTGAGCCTTCTAGCAAGCACTTTAGCTAAAATCTTATAAAGAGATATGACCAAGCTAATGGGTCTAAAATCCCCAATCTTGATTGACTTCTCCTTAGGAATTAGACAAATGAAAGAGGCATTGGTGCACAAATTAACTTGCCCACTCTCAAAAAACTCAGAAAAAACTTTCATAAGATCCCTTTTTACAATATCCCAACAATCCTGAAATACTGTCATTGAAAAACCATCTGGGCCAGGAGCCTTGTCTCTGTCACACTCAAATACAGCCTGTCTCACCTCTTCTTTGTCGAAGGGTCTTTCTAGCCAACTAGCAGACGCTAAATCCACTGGGACCCAATTAATGCCTTCAATCCCTGGACGGTCCACACCCCCATCGGAATATAGATTTGAATAAAAATTAAAAATTTCCTTGACAATAAGCTCCTCCTTACACACTACTTCACCTGAAGCCACTTCCAAATTCTTAATAAAACTCTTCTTCCTCTTCCTGACGCAACTCTATGATAAAATCTAGAGTTGGTATCACCCTCTCTAGCCCATTTCAACTTAGCTCTTTGACCCCAAAAAATTTGCTCCCTAAAAATGATCTCTTCCAACATCATTCTTAGCATTGACCTCCTATACCTTAACGATTGAGATAATCCC